CAGAAGGTGCTTCTCTTCCACCTCTTACCTTCTCTTATGACATGCACAAAAGAGATGACCAAAATTAATGGTGATTTTCAGTGTGTAGTGCCACAAAATAATCTTGAGGCTGCATGGTGGCAAATGGAAAAGCTACTGCCAGAATATGTCAAACAAACCGGCTTGTCTCGAGGTTTGTGCCACTTTATCTCAAACTTTGGGAGGATGGGCTGGATTCACCCTAATCTTGCCAAACAAAAAGAATATCAGCATGATTGCAATGCCCAAATTTGGTGTGTGAACCTGGGTCGGGCTTTTGCCATACACCAGCAGTGTTCAACCTCCCCCATACTGTGAACAGTACATCATGAACTGGACATGTCCATGGTCTGCCCAGCATAGGAGCAATAAACCAGAAAATTTTCAGCACCTCTTTGTCTTCAAACTGAGTGCTCAGAGATGGGTGCATGGTCACTACTATTTTTAGCACACAGCCAATTTTCAGTAAATTTTGATGTTCAGAAGGCAATGCCAGGGAAAAGCACCCCATAAATATTGTATGCAAAAATAATTTATCAATTTGAGGCACTTTCCCTAGCCTCAATTTGATGTCAATGTGATGATGATGAAAATTGTGATGTCAGCATGCCAATGTTGCCTAGGTGTCCAGTGCAGTGGATTGATTTTTTGCAGACGGCCCTCTGGAACCTAATTAACACTTGGTATCTTTATATTATTTTATTGTTATTTAAGGTATCAGTCATGTATTACATATTATATTATTGTTTTGGTCATATTGTCACATGTCATATATTATTATATTATTATATTTTATTATTATTATGTAAGGTATAATTATATTATATATAATTATATGTAATTAACATAAGGTATTAGTCAAGCCTGGAGAAACACTTATTTGAATAGGGGCATGTTATGTGGTGGAATGTTAAGCACAGCAAGGTGCATATTTCAATGAAAAGTGATATGGCTCTTGTCAAACATTCCAGTGTGTCCTCTGCACATCACTTTGTGCTAACTGCTTGGCAGGGGAGCCCAGTGAAGTAGCATCAGCATATTTCAAACCAGGAAGGGAAGCATGTTATGAATATGGGCATACTAGACTGGTGGGCTATGAAAGCTTCAATACTGATGTAGCTTGAGCAGACTCTTATCTGGAGCTGAAAACTTATGCATCCATTGCTTTCCTTGAAGCCAAACCAACAGGTTGCATTTCCATTTTGTGTTAAGAATAAATATAACTTTCATCTTCAGAAAAGAATAAAGATGACATAACTCATGCTCGGTCTTTTGTTTAAGACATTTAATGTGTCAGAAGGGAGATCAAGTTTTTGGCTTTTGGTAAACTTATGACAGTAGGTATGTTCCTTTAAGCACACTTGAAATGAATGATCTTACAACTTCATACAAACACAATCTTACATTCACTCATAATGTCAACAATCATGTCAGATACCTTCCATGTGTGATACCTTCCATGTCAGATACCTACCACTTTGTCTCACTGTGTCATAAATGGAAGGATGCTATACCAGATGGAACAGTAGAATGTGAAGTAATCACTGAACACAAGTGTGACAGCTATACCCAGAATGCCTTGGACTTAGTGCCAGCTGTAATGATGCAAAATATTTTTTCAACCAGCATTCATCCCAATACCACTCACTATACAATATGGGTATGCCTCTTAATTTTTTTTTATTGTTTTCTTTTGACAGCACCAAATTGTGGGAAGGCTGCAGCACTGACTGTGAAGTGGCTCAACATGAAGCCTTATTTTGCTAACCCCTTAACTTGAAGCAGTGTTTTGCACCACTGAACATGTGCTGCTTTTGTTTAGAGCACATTTGATAAGTGAATGATGGTGCACTTGATGACAAAAATGGTAGGCATTATTGTTTTTTTTCTGTTGAATGTTAGAATAACATTTCTCACTTAAATGATGAAGTAACATTAGCATGGGTCTCGGTCGCAACAGCGGCGCGATGAGGCAGGATGTTGTGAAGAATGAGCTGGCCGCGTGGCTTCCGTGAGCAATGCTTGACGGTGACCAGAAAATGATTGCTAAGAATGGTTTGGTCCAAATGGCCTGTGACAGTACCTTCCTTCAGTACCTTCGATGATTGGGCAGGCTTCTTTCCCGCCCTTGAGTTTCCAAAATGTGACGTAGTCAACCTTTACGGATGCTGCACGCTGGATTTTGGGAGATGAAGAGCATTCATGCTTTCACTGCAATGACTAACTCTCTGCCTCTAGGTTAAACAGTGGAAACTAGATGTTATTTGCGATTTCAATCGACCCCACCGTTACTCCTGAGCTTCCTTACTTTTGTTCATTTGACAGCTGGCGTGGCGCTGACATTGAGACAACTTTGGACATCTTCAGGTGGTCATGAGCAACTGAAAAAATGATGAAAAGTTTTCTGTGAATACCTATTTTTCGCGTGCAGTGTCATGAAACTGATGGCCGTGCACTGCTATTCTCAGGTGGCACTCGCAGTTTAGAAACCGGCGTCGAAACGTAAAGGAAATGGTTGATGATATGTCAGACGTAGCCCAAAAATAGCGCTGAATATCTAAAACTCGACAAGATGCAGCGCTGAAATCTTTGATGTGCTGAGAAAATAGGTAGACTTTCATCTTTATCAGAAGCACATGCATTGCCACATGGTACTTTCACAACAGCTAGACGGATCATACTTGTGTGATGCGCCCTGCAGTTTGATGGACATGTCCGGGTTTTCCCATTTTACACGGAACATGCATTGTTACTCAACTCGCACTGCGTGTTGCAATGCTGAAGACATCATCACATGCGTCGATAAATGACCCGCAGGCTGTGTTATTGCAGGACCGGCGCTCCGAACATGGCATCAATGGAAGTAGATACAATGGACGAGGAAGTTGTAGCGGGAACGTCCAAGAGCGACAAGAAGCGATTTGAAGTTAAGAAGTGGAACGCTGTGGCGCTATGGGCATGGGACATAGTGGTGGACAACTGCGCCATCTGCCGCAACCACATCATGGACCACTGCATCGAGTGCCAGGCCAACCAGGCCTCGGCCACCAGCGACGAGTGCACGGTGGCGTGGGGCGTGTGCAACCACGCCTTCCACTTCCACTGCATCTCGCGCTGGCTCAAGACGCGCCAGGTGTGTCCGCTGGACAACAGGGAGTGGGAGTTCCAGAAGTACGGCCACTAGGCGGCGCTCGGCGCCAGACGGGGCGGACCGGTGGAGCGCCGAGCCAGGAGGACGGCTGACGGTCCCAGCTGACTCGAATCCCATTATCCATGTGATGTGAAAAATAACCACGATTTGGCGGCCGCTCACCGCGGCACCTACGATGCTGCACTGCGTGGCTGGCGTCCGGGTTGAGAATACACCGCAATATACGTTCTTAAACCAGTTTTGCCCTTGAAAAGTTGAACCCGCATTGCAGACATGCCACGACTTCACAAACCGTCGAATCTAGTTCAAAACGCCACGCTCCCCGTACTCAGAACCCGCGAAGTTGTTAGCCACCTGCACCTACGAAAGCAGTGGTGGTAGTTTGGCGGTTATGACGCGCCAGCACGGGGCATTTTGCGCCCACTCGAGGATGATTATCTGTATCTGTACTGGCACGCTATAAATATGTTTTCAACTCGTATTAAGCGGTTTCGCCGGTGCATTTACACTGAGGGCCGAGTAAAAATATGTCAATGTGTGCTAAAATGCGAGCATATCTCGGACTTCACAGCATGGGTCGGCATTCTCGACCGATCAGCCGATTGAGGGAAGCTGGTGGAAAATATCGTCTCCGATTCGCTCCATTGTGCCGGCACAAAACAAGGACATGTTCCACCGACAACCGGTCCCCGCACCTGTCACACTGGCACATCCTGACGCGTCGAGCAGGACGAGTACGCTGCATGTGCATGACCCAAGCAAAGAGTACAGAGTGACTTCCTGAAAGCGGACTCTGCAGTGAAATCTACAATTACCATATATGGCCTTGGTTTTCCTGAAAGTGTGGAGATGTTGGCCAAACACGTTCTGCCATGTGTGGCGGACTTTAGCGGACTTGGACGTGGCAGACTTTATATCGCGAGCGGGTGTATTAAGTGGTAGCGGCATCCTCTCACACGCAGCGGCTTTCGCTACCGCATCCGCGCTCTCATTCCCCAATATCCCTACGTGACTGGGGGCCAACACACACTCATACGGCTGATAGTGTCGCCCGGCCATCCCATTTTCTCCCAGATCGATCGCATCAGAGGAGTGGTCGCGCGACATCAACGTCGGGCCCAATGATGAAAAACACTTAAATTAACGACCAAAATGACTTCATTCCCTTCTGGGCGACAAGTAACGTGCTGAAGATCTGCTGCAAAAGTGAACGGCTCTGAGGAAGAGGCTGACACGCAATGCGGGAGGCAGAAACCTGAGGTGTGATGACTGCCAACACCTGCGCAACCAGTCCCTGTCGGGCCTTCGGATCAGTTAGTACACATTTGCAATGAATTTTCGTGTCCTGCGATCCGTTCCAACGAATAGTTGGGCAGCTCTCGTGGGAAAGTGCCGCTTTTATGTTGATGGAAAGCTGCAAATCATTATTTGTACTCGGGCGCCGCCAAGGAGTTAGGTCCCAGTGTTCGGGGCAATGTCATTTAGCGTAATATCCGCCTCATCCAGCCAGTCCCGGACGCGCATACACATGGGTCGCGCCGACGTAGGCTGCCCGTTAAGAACGGATTAACGGCTGAGAGAAAATGGACTCGAAAGCCGGTTGATCTGGGGATTACAACACCGTGGCGTAATCCAAAGTACGTCGTCTTCTAACAAGCAAAGGCGGTTCATTGGCTTCCACCAGCAAGTCAACAAGTCCACCAGCAAGTTGTTCGGGTTGTACAAAAAGCCCCACTGGCCACCCCCGATGTCCACATGGTTCAAAGCGGTACACATCTTCGCGCCATTCCACGTGCCGCCGAGAACTCAAGATAAAACAGCTTCCACCCGGTCGTGAATTTATTCGGAAACGGCAACAGGGGAGAGACCGCCCGGGATCGGGGGGTCATAAATAGATCACAACTGGGAGTGGTGCTGACGGCGTCGACGGCGGGCCTCAGCTGGTGGGCCCATCGGCGGCCGGCTCCGCAGGACGGTTGTCCTCTGGCTTCATTGCGGGGAAGAAGAGCACCTCCTGCCGGACACCGGTCCAGTGACGTCAGTGCTGATGCCGGAGGCCACCCCACGGCCACGTCAGTGTCCGGGCGCAACATCACGTGACCTCGGTATGTAAGCATGTCTCAGTAGCGTCAGTGTTGTACACCACGACGTTACTGTCGGAGCAGCACAACAAACGCTGCAACGGCGCCAGTGCCAAGGCGCGGCGTTAGGAACAGTGACGTGATTGACGCCGCTCGGGTTCGCTCGCGGCGGCACGTTACGCGGGTTACGCGGACGCTACTATCGTGTGGCGGTATGACGTCATTGTCAAAGCGCAGCGACGACAGCCACGAGTGGCATCGTAAGTCAGAGTCGGGCAGCGCAACGTCGGGTATCACGGCGCAGGCGACCATGCACGCGCCTCCTCGTCCGCATTCCAGAATTCATCCAGTATGGTATCCGAGATGTGGGCTCTCCAACGGCCTCTGCACGCACTTCGTTGGCGCTAATCCGTCGCCCTTCGGCCCCGCACCCGGATGTCTAACCTGCCCGGCTCACATTCCAGGCCTGAGGCGCTTAGATCACGCGTTGCACGCCGCCCGGCTCGATGCATATTGGTTGATTTTGAGCAAGGGGAGACGCAACTGGCAGTGCATCCCAAGCCGGGAGTGTATAAGCATGACAAAATATCGCCATCCCTGATACCCAAGCGGCCGACTGCTGGTACACTGCTTCCCACCACAGAAACAGCCATCTGACACCCCGTGACGCACGCGAGCGACGCTGTATAGATGCCGCGTCAGAGACAGCTCCCGCGACATGAGCCGTCTCGCTGTCGCCGAGCCCTCACGAGCGCGGCTCGCGCTGCCGCAGCAGGCCTCGGGCGCACCTTGATGTTGTTGGAGTCGGTCAGGAACATGGTGAGCCGGTCGATGCCCATGCCCCATCCGCCGGTGGGCGGCAGGCCGTACTCCAGCGCCGTGCAGAAGTTCTCGTCGATCAGCTGCGCCTCGTCGTCGCCCGCCGCCTTGGCCTGCCCGGAGCGGGGGCGCGTGAGACGCGCACGTGAGCGCGGTGGGGTCCTTGGGACCGGACCGATCTGCCGCGGGCGCGAGCAGAGCAGCCCACAAACGGACCACCCGCACAAGGCCCACCAACTGTACCCCGAATCGCAGAGTCGGACTCGCCGCCCGCCGAGGCAACTGCGAGTGATACAGCTCGCACCAAGTGTGGCCAGCATCCCCACGCGCAGCTCGGACCCTCGCTGGCTTGGTCGCCGCGCGCTTGTACGGCGACAACCGGCGGTAGCGGAAGGACAACTGCGGGGTCGCCGTACCTGTCTGCGGCGACGTCCCGGCCCGTTCGCGGACGGGGACGGTACTCACGCTGGCCTGAATGGCGAACATCTGCCTCTGCGTGATCGGGTCATTCAGCTCCGTGTAGGCGTTGCACACCTCCTTCTTGCAAACGAACAGCTCGAAGCGCTCCGTGATGCCCGGCTGCGAGCGGTGGTACTTGGAAAGCGGCGACATGATTTGCGGGTGGTCCAGGATGAACGTCGGCTGGATGCACGTCTCCTCCAGGAACTCGCCGACCAGCTGGCGGCGCGGCGGACGCGTCACACACCGTTCGGCGGCGTCACGGCCGCTCGGCGGCGTCACGGCCGCTCGGCGGCGTCACGGCCGCTCGGCGGCGTCACGAGGCCAACTGGCCACGTGATGCCGTCACGCCACAGCGGTACACGGCCACCCGGGCCAAAACAAGACCTGCCTCACTGGAGAGGCATCATCAATCAGCGGCAGTGACGGACGGCGACGCCGCGTGCACGGCGGCGGCGAACCGACGCCACGCGCCGACCACACCCTTCCGCTGCTGCTGCCCCGCGCCGCCGCTGTCCGGCAGCCGTGCACACGCAGCGCCAACCGGAGCCGGCTCTCCGTCCGGCGAGGCGGCTCACCTTGTCCAGCAGGCGGGCGGTGGTCCGTGGCGGCGCGCAGTCCACCTGGTGCTGTACGCAGAGCCGGTCGAGCGCGGCGCGCGCCGGCTCGCCCGTCAGCTCAGTGGCGGGCGGCAGAGACGTCTTGAGCGCCTGCGGCCGCGGCAGGGACAGACCGCGATCATGTCAGCTGACTCAACCCGCGACGGCCGAAACACGACATTGATTTCTACAGCATCGAGGCAAAGGGCGGGTGACAACCAGTGAACGATGATGGGCAATACGAAAATGTGGCATGAAATGAATTAAATAAACGTATGCGATGGAGAACATGCACATGTACCGTTATCGTAACTACGGGCAATAAGATTTGTCATTGACCGTGGCCGAACACACAGTATTCCCGTCCGGCTGCCGACGTGCGGAGACCCCGCCCAAAGCCCGCCAGAGCAGCGGCGGCGGCGGCTCACCTTCTCCAGCTCGGGCAGCATGTGCAGCCGGCGGAAGGGCGGCGTGAAGTCCACCTGCCAGGCCTCGCCGTCCGGACCGTCCGGGTGGTACGTCACCTGGGTGGTGCCGAATATGGAGCGCACCATGCCTGCGCGCGGCAGACGCCCGGTCAGCGGTGCCCCATGCCGGCGACGCTCGTGGCCCGACCGGCCGACGCCCGGTCAGCGGTGCCCCAGGTCGGCGACGCTGCAGCCCGACCTTGCCTAGCCCTCCCCAACACATACATCACGCATGTCTATGTTCAACATTTGTACATGATCATGATGGCCTGGCGGACCGCTACGCATGCCTGGAGGACCAGCCTAAAAGGTTGCTTCGGCATGAAAAAAAAAACATGCTGACCGTTGTTCACATGCCGTAGGATACGATTTTCTCGATCCTCGCGATCCTTCGGCCCCCGGATGGCAGTGTTAACTCAAATGTTGCATTGCAAGAATGAGATCAAACTGCCGATGACCAGACCCGGTCACTGGGACTGCAGCCCGGCCTGGGCGGGGAAGGGCTGCCGAGCGCTCTCAAACTCGACCTCGACACACTATAAAAGCAACATCGTACCGCACATGGCTATCACCTGGCTCGAACGACCAGCACTGCTCCCATTGATCATGGCATAAATGCGCCCAGCAGTTAAGATGATTACTCCATGGACAACGCGGTACGGAGCTCATTATGGCAGCTGCAAGGCGCCGCCAGACCATCGGGGAATGATCCTGTGACGTACGTGCGAAAGTGCACCGGTCGGGCTGGGCCAACAACCACGCACCTGATACCATCGTCTCTGTGATCTCCATCAGGTCGTTGTAGTCGGCGTAGGCCATGTAGAACTCGCAGGTGGTGAACTCCGGGTTATGGGTGAGGTCAATGCCCTCGTTCCGGAATTGGCGCCCGATCTCGTACACGCGGTCAATGCCGCCCACCACCAACATCTGCGGCGCAGAGCCACAGCCGGTCAATTAGCAGAATACCCAGATACCCAGAGCCAGAGCCGACCAGTCCGTCGCGCGTGTCGAGCCAGAGCCCACCAGTCAGCCGGTGTCCGAAGTCAGAGCCGGCCAGCTAGCCGAATGCCTTGAGCCAGAGCCGGCGATCGGTCAGTGAGGCTGAACTGTGGCCTTAGGTGATCAGTGTGTACGGCATAGTAATTGTTGAACGGGCTGAACCATCCATATTCCCGTTTCGTACACCTTGCAATCACGCCCTTTCCCTCCATATTGACGCTGGTCATTCATATCCAATCTAGTCCATACATCACACTAGCGGAAGCTACAACACCTCCAAGGAAGGCTGTAATGAAACAGTAGTTTACAGGCGGATGAGTCAATAAGAGCGTGATCGTGATACAACCGCCACAACAGACTGAGGGGAAGACAACCTAATTGTGAAAGCTTTCTGCAGGCCACTGCGAACGGCACAGAGTCGTCGTACACGTCGGACTTACGTCCGACATGGGACTCGCCTTGTGGTACAGCTCCGGGGCTATCCGCATGAACAGCTTCATGCTGAGTTCGTTGTGGTAGGTCTCGAACGGCTTGGCTGTGGCGCCGCCGGCTATCATGTTCATCATGGGCGTCTCGATCTCCAGGAAGCCGAGTCGATCCAGGAAGCTGCGCACGTAGCTGCAGGCCGGGCCAAATGGACCATTGCGCGACAACGAACTGACTAAAACCGCCGTCCAACGAACAGAACGAGAAAAAGTGTTTGCTTATCGGGAACGACAGCAGGTGGAAAATGAGCGCTTCGACCAGCACACGACCGTTACACACGAACAATGTTGCACAGCTCCTTCAAATCAGCAGTTGACAGTCAGCACAAATGGCATGACAATGGTGAAGCACACCAGGGTATTTGGGTCAGTGGCAACGGATTGCACCTGAAGCACTCCCCAGTATTTCAATGATATTTGAGAACAGGATGGAACGCGTGCGGATGCACGCTTATGGCGTGCGTACGGCCTCACCTGATAATCTTAGCTCTGACGAAAAATTTGTTACGCACGTCTTCATTCATGATGAGGTCTAGATACCGCTGCCTAAACCTTGTTTCCTGAAAAAACGCCCGCAAGTCAGGCGACAAAAACACACACACAACACTTCATGTCTATAAATATCATTACTGACCAATATCATAACTGATCATTACTGACCTTCCTGCAACCCATGGCTGATTTATGCGTGCTGTTGGGGTAGTGGGCTCTGGCAACATGACAGCCACACGTGAAGCGGGCGGCGGCCCAGCGGCGCCGGTGTACCTTGTCCTTGAGGCCGTAGTGCATGGAGGGCAGCATGTGCAGGCAGGGCGTGAGGACCTGCAGCCGGTGCGGCACCACCGACAGCTCGCCCTTCTTGGTCTTGGCCGGGTGGCCCACCACGCCGACGATGTCGCCGCGCCGCAGTCGGTCAGTGTCGGCCCCGAACCGCTCCGGGTCCTCGTACAGCTTGAAGTTGGCCATTATCTGCGGAGAGCGCTGGGCGTCAGGGAGGCAAGGATAGCGTGAGGGACTACCCCGCTCCCCGACGCCCTACAGCTGGCCGGGATCCACCGGCCGGAAGTGCGGGGGGAGGGGGGAAGTGGCAGAGGTGACAAGTGGGACATGTCTTGGCGAAGGGGGACGGACGGACGGCAGCCCAGGGGCAGAGCATAAAACACGCCTGGGTTCTCCGGCCATTGTGGTGTACTGCACTGAAAAAATAGGTGCGTTGAAAAATCTTTGAGAAGCTCACTATTTGTTTCAGTTCAGCAACGATTGGTTCGAGTCTGGTGAGACTGGTGCGGACGAGCATGCAAAGCGTTTTCAGCAGCGTTTCGAAAGGCAAATCTTACACCGTGAGTTCTGCGCTCAATGATTATATAGCGTGGCAACAAGAGCCCAACAACGCAACGAATGAGTCCCTCAACGTAGAAAACTTCACCGGAGTCCCACACGGCGAACCCCGCCAAGGCAACAACGGAGTCTACACACGGCGACGCCGCCCCTGCACGGCGACTCGCCTGTATTTTGACGCCCTCGCCGCGCAGGTCATAGAAGCGCAGCTTGGCGCTCGACTCGCGGATACTGTGCAGCCGGCCGGCCACCGACACCGTCACGTCCTCGACGGCAGACCCGTCGGCGATGTCGCCGTACGTGCCGATAAACTCCTGCAGAGACGTCGTCACGTGGAACTTGTGCGGGAACGGGTTCTCGCCGGCCTCCTTGGCCGCCGTCACGCCCGCCACGCGCATCCGGTAGTACTCCTGCCGCACGGAGGGCGCAGAGTCGGGTTAGCGTCATGGTTCTGACGAGAGGCACGGCCATGAGCGAACAAGTGCGACGCGGCGCGGGACGCTGCTGCCGTGGCCAGAATACATGCAGGGCGAAAACGTACACGCTAGAAATAATTCGACGATTTCGTTAGTTTTGATGTATATTTATGATTTTCTGCGCACTTCATACATCATTATAGCTCACTACAGGCGATAAAAACGGAAAGCATCGCCGAACGACACCATCACAGCATCACAAAGTTCACAATTATGCCCTCCGCACCCACCGGCGCAGCTGTCACGCTCTACAGAGTGAGCGTGGCAGCTGCGCCGGCGGGCGTAGAGGGAGAGGTCCTGTTCCGCAGGAGGCCGCGGAGCGAGGCGGGGTCGTACATTTGCCGTGAGCTCGCCCTCCGCGGCGGCGGCCGACTTGGCGGACGCCTCCTCGGCGGCGGCCGCCACCGGCTTCTGACGCTCCTTCTCCGCCTTTTCCTGCTCCTTCTTCTGCTGCTTCTGGCGCCGCTTTAGCTCACTGCGACAGAGACTGCGGTAAGCGGTCGACCATAACCAGAAGCAGAGTGGGAGCCAGCCGCTCACCGACGGCGGCGGCGTGGGAGCCAGCCGCTCACCGACGGCAGCGGCGTGGGAGCCGGCCGCTCACCGACGGCGGCGGCGTGGGAGCCGGCCGCTCACCGACGGCGGCGGCGTGGGAGCCGGCCGCCCACCGACGGCAGCGGCGTGGGAGCCGGCACGCAGCCAACCACATCACAGCGAGGCAGGCGCGCTGGACAGCATTTTGTAGTGTTATGACACATGTTACTGGCCTGGCCACCATGACCGGCGGAGACTGGCTTATAAGGTGATGAAGGGAGTGGAGGAAAAGAGAAGCGCAGACGGTGGCCACGTTTTGACCAACGGCCGTGAAACACCATACTCAGCAGCAGACCACTCCCAATCGATCGCACACCAGATGTAGGACACACGCCGACGATGCCAATAAGGCATCAAGGTGTTTAGCAGACGGAACTGAAGGTGAGGGCCCTTTCACAGTCCTTCGAGCACTGGCGTTCCGGTCGGCACCAGGTCAATGACCAGCCGCTAAAACAATGAAAAAAATGAACGCTTCGCAGTGGTTACCGCAGTACATACGGATGGGCTGGACTCTGGAGTCGTTGTACTTGTGCCAGACTCCCAATGGAGGCCTGGCCATGACTGACAGAGAGACTGGTTCACGGGGTGGTGGAGGGAGTGGCCAGTGACCAGTTTTTGACCGGTGGTCAGTTTTTGACCGACGGCCGCAAAACACCACACTCAACAGTGTATTACTGGCATTCCGGTCGACACCAGGTCAATGACCGGTGCTGCCAGCGCTGTCCCAATGCAACATGACCTGACACCACGCTTGACCCTGAGACGTACCTAGCTTGGACACCTTGCGGTCCAAAGCACGCACATGCATTAGCATTTGAGGCAGACGGAAACGAGACGTGCCGCAAGGAAGGAATCTGCGATTGTGCGATGCATCGGAATATAACAGGAGTGTGCTACAACGGCACGGTTGTATCATATGTCGAAATGGTAACTTCTTATCGCGGCTGCGTGTGGCACCCAAACTACGGAACTGGACGGGATGTACCACTGTAAGCTGGGGCCGGCTCACCTGGATGTGGCCAGGAGTCTTTGGTGACGCGCCAGTTGGGGTCCTAGCGGACCTCCTAAAGCCCGCGCCAAACTGGTCACCTTATGAGCCTGCCTGAGGCAGCACCAGGTGGCCAGCCCCAGCTTACAAGACATCCTTAAAGACGTCTGTAACATGCCAAGCAAAGCGTCAGTGGGAATATCCTGTACTGAACTGATGCTGCTCCGAAAGGGTACAGTACAGGAGCATGACAATTTCACCAGTGAATAAACATCTGACAGTTTCCAGAATTTAACATCTTATTAAAGGTGCCTCACTGTCTGCAAAATCAGTGGCTACGATATATAAAGTGCACAATGTTACATGATGCATCCACTGAGGCTGCTTCAGAACAGAAATACATTAAACAACATTATCACTTAAAGATGTTTCCTTGAAGTGATAAATTAGAAAATACAGGTGAGTCAAAAACTGTGATGTGGGGATATGATAATTGTGGGAAATTTTTCCCCACCTTATGCATTAAAAGTTCACCTAATTTTTTACTAGATCCTTAGACTCTTTATTTGCAGCACTACAAAAAACCAGATTATGCTCCAAGACAACTTGACGATCTGAAACTGGGCAAATTGGAATGGACAAGAAACTTAGACAAAATGATGATGATGTTAATGATGATCACTTGAGCTTTTAGGGTGCACCAACTACTAAGGACATTTTGCACCCATAAAGCTAACTGGCTACCAGGTGCATTCATGGCTGCAGACCCTACATTTTTTCTTTAAAAAAATAAGACCAGCTGCCAGGTGCCAACCATGCTGGAACCTTCACCAGCAAGGTCCGAAAGGGTAAGATCTATAGCGACTGGCCCGAAATAAAGCGATCCCCTTCGCTGGTGTGGGCAAAAGTGAACAACATGATAATCAAACATATTTGGAAAATGCTAAACTACATGCTCATAGTAAATTACCTTACTTGGCTTAAGGCATTCTGATCTTGAGTCATAGTAGTCATTTTCCTAACATACCACAGTTTACCGTTTGTTCGCAGTTAACAAATGTTTGCTTGCAAGCTGGCATTAACTATCTATAAGCATGCCTACCAACATACAAATGTCTTTATACATTGCTTGAGCCCCATTTTCAGAGGGGTGGGTGGGGTGGGGTGAAGGTTGAGGCTTTCTTTTTCTTTGGTATCTGTGCCGCCGACGGTGGGAAGAGCTACGCTGGCTGCAGGGTTCATGTACTGTCATGTTGAGGAAAGGCTGTCAGGCGTCAGCTGGCATTGTGACGGTACTGAGGAAGGTATCTATGTATCTATCTATCTGTGTCTATCAAACGCCCCTGCTCTGACGGATCACCGGAGCGTGTAAAATCACTGGTTACGGGTCCTTTTGGGCCAACTGAGGGCCATAAGACGAAAACCGACAATATGACACCACTGGTATTCGACTGAGTGTGTGACATCACTGGTCACGAGTTTAACGGGCTCTTTTGTGTCAACCGAAGGTCATGAGGGACCACCTGACGATGTGACGCCACTGGGGTTCAACTTAACCTCTGGCGCAATAGCCTATGTTCTATCTTTACCTTTCGCACCAGTCTTTAGCAAGTATTCCCCTGCTGAATGGTGGCTCTGCCAAATCGTCTGAGTGTGTGACGTAACTGGTCATGCGTTTTTATGGGTTCTTTTGGCCCGACTGAAGTTCATAAGGCATCAGCTAACGATATGACGCCACTGATATTCGACTGAGTGTGTGACGTCACTGGTCCTGAATTTTTATGGGTTCTTTTGGGACGACTAAAGACCACATAGTATCAGCTGACGATATGACATTACCAGCATTCGACTAAACCTCTCTGCCGAATCACCTGAGTGTGTGACGTCACCGCTCATGAGTTTACACGGGTTCACTTGAGCCGCCCAGGGCGACGAAGCATTATATCCCGCGAGGCATCACCGGATGATATGACGTCACTGGTTTTTGACGAAACATCAGGCGCAACAGGTCATCTTCCAGCTTTATCCTTCATACCTGTCTAATGCAAGTTATGGCGTGCTGACTGAAGGCTCTGCTGAACCACCTGAGTACGCGAAGTCGCTGATCATGAGTTTTTGGCTGACTGAATTCCATAAGGCATCAGCTAACGACGTGACGTCCCTGGTATTTGATTGAGCGTGTGACGCCACTGGTCATAAGGTTTTTACCGGCTCTTTTGGACCGACTCAAGGCGATATGACATCAGTTAACGCTATGACGTCACTGGTATTCGATCAAACATCAGGTGCGGTAGGTCACGTTCCATCTTTACCTCTCGCACCTGTCTACTGCAAGTATTGACGTGCTGAATGATTGCTCATACTCAGGTGTTTCAGCAGAGCTTTCATTCGGCACACCAATACTTACAGTCGGCAGGTATGACGGTGAAAATGGAACATGGCCTGTTGCGCCAAACGCTTAGTTGAATACCAGTCACCTCATATCATCTGGTGGTTCTTCATGGGATATGATGCTTCGCGGCCTTGGGCAGCACACGAGAAGCCGTTAAAACTCATGATCAGTGAGCTCATATACTCGGGTGATTCGACAGGGTCATCATTCAGCACGCGAATACTTGCAGTAGGCAGGCACAAAAGGTAAAGATCGAGCATGACCCGTTGCACTTGATATTAAGTTAAATGCCAGTGACGTTATATCGTTAGCTGATGGCTTATGAACTTCAGTCGGTCCAAAGAACCCATAAAACCTCATGATTAGTGACATCACACACAGGTGATTTGGCGGGCCCTTCGTTCAGCACGCCAATACTAGCGGTAGACAGGAACAAAAGGTAAAGATGAAGCATGGCTTGTTGCGCCCCATGCTTAGTGAAATGCCAATGACGTCTTATCGTTGGCTGATGCCTTACGGCCTTACGCTGGCCCAAAAGAGCTAAAAAAATTCATGGCCAGTGACGTCATACACTCAGTCAAAAAACGGTGCCGTCACATCGTCAGCTGATGCTTCATGGTCCTTAGTCGACCCAGGAGAACCTATAAAAACTCACGACCAGTGACGTCACACATGACTCGGACAACTCACGTTGACACGCGACACGTGACTGATTCGGCAGAGCCTTCATTGAGCACGGCAATACTTGTAGCAGACAAGTACAACAGATAGAGATGGAAGATGGGCTGTTGCGCCTGATGTTTAGTCGCATGCCAGTTGTTAGCGAGCAAACGGGCCGTTGCTGCCGGCGCGGCAGCGGTGTCTCCGCGATGGTGTGAGCGGCCCCTCTGCCGATTGGTCCTCACCATCTAAGGCCCGTATGTGGGCCACGTGGATTTATGGGACACGCGGGCAGGGACATATGGTCCCTGCCTATCAGTTCACGTTCAGGCTCCGATGGCGCGGCTCGACGCGAGTCGCGTTGGCGTTCACGACGACGACGACGACTTCGGAGTGTGCGACGCCGCCCTTTCAACGCCTCTCTTGCCTTCATTTTGCAACTCTTTGGCTAATAGAGACTCTTCCTTTTCAACGTCTGTTTTCGAGTCAAGTCGATGGTCCCCCGGAAAACCAACGGACTCTTTCACACGAACACCAGTGGCATCATATTATCTGGTGATGCTTCATGGGATATGATGCATCGTGGCCTTGGGGGCCCAAATGAGCTCGTACAAGGTCATGATCAGTAATGTCGCACACTGCGGTGATTCGGCAGAACCATTATTCAGCACGTGAATGCTTGCAGTAAGTAGCAGCGCTGGAAAACTTGATGTTTTCGGTATAAGGTATATCAGGAGACTTTGTACTCCAGGATTGTCTTTCTTACTACGCAGACAGGTACAAAAGGTAGAGATGGAATATGGCCAGTTGCATCTGATGTTTTGTCACATACCAGTGACATCACGTATTAGCTGATGCCTTATGGCATCCAGTCAGCCCAACGGTGCTCTAAAGACTTATGACAAGTGACATCACATACTGAATTAAGTACCAGTGATGTCATATTCGCAGGTGATGCCTCATGGCCTTCAGTTGGCCTAAACACCCAGCGGCATGTCATGTCATGTCATTGGGGCTTTACGACACACTCTGTTGCTGAGGCTATATGGCATCACCTGCCTCTCATCCTGGCGGGAAGGGCGGGCACTGCCGGGAACCAAAACCCATACCTCTGGTTTCCCAGATGGGCAGTGGTTAACACAGATGCCTTAACCACTACACTACTGGCACCCACCCAGTGACATCACAATATCAGCTGATGTCTCACAGCCTTGATGCTGCACAGCAGCAGACACACCTTCAGTCAGCATAGCTCTCCCCTCCATCTGCCAGGCAGGTACAAAAGCAACATTTTGACAGGATGAATAGAACCCAGAGCAGAACAGAGTAAAATGCAGCTGAAAAACTCCATAAAAATCCCATTTAACTTCAGGAATCTTGCATTCAGGTAGTCACATCCTCAGGATCCAAAGCATGTGCACATCAACCCTTGACCTGTTTTGCCAGCACAGACAGGAGAGGGGGATGGGGGGAGCAATGACATCCTGCTGCCCTTTCCAACATAATAGGGGCAAGGCCTCATGGAAAAAGCTGAGGATTGGTTTCAATGAATCTAACAATTGGTAATCATGCAATTCTGCTAAGTCAGAAATTAAACCCCACTAACCAGGTTAAAGCCTGGAGCTTGGAGCTAAGCCTGTAGCTTGCATGCACCAAACTATAATCAGGGGAATTGTGCTTAGCTTTCAAATCACTTATGGATGAAACTGCCTTTGAATAAGTTTTCCTAAAATAGCATTTGCAGCATCATAATTCCCTTTCACATTGGCATTCCACATGCTGAGTGTGGTGGCAATCATACACAAAACTCTACAAAACTCTGGATGTTCACATCTATGGCATACATGCAACAAAATTTTCACTACAAACCACCATGCTGCTATGCCAGAAAACTTCCCTGTAACTTCACAACTTCACTTTTATGATATGACAGGATGGGAGTACAAGGGATGGAGGGCAGATCAACTTTACTGTCCCTTATCCATACAAATTTCATGTGAAAAGTTGGCTTATCCTACATAAGTACTGTCACCACATTTTTATACACGAGGAGCCTGGAAATAATTTACGAGTGAGGCAATGGGCACATGGCCCGTACAGACGATTACGGCGCACACCGGACCACGGTACCGAATAAAACAATCAATACGCTCCACTGCTTTGCACAAACTCACTTTTTCGAAATCTTTTCTCCCTCCGCTGGAACCGAATCCTCAACTCCCATTGTCACAAAAAGCTACAAGCGAGGCTTAAGCCGCCAGTCGCCACTCCTCCCGGACAGCACCCCTACGACCAGCAGATACCGCAACCTTACATCAGCGCAGCATTGAAAGCAAGGGTACTAGAGAAGGGAGAAGGCTATGCAGACGTGACGTCATCATGGAACTAAAATTTGGTAGCCCGTAGTATGGTTTTTGGCTGAAACTACGCGAAGGCTGGTAGATACTAGTAACATGATTCCGACCGGAGATTTCATCCATGACCTGGGTAGTGACCCTATTCTACATCTATATTTCAATGCTATGTAAACAAATATTGTAAATTTTGCATCCAACACCTTCTAAATATAAATCACTACTACGATCTGCTTCCTAAAATAGATCCTCCTAAATCACGTTTTCCAGGTTTAATGCTTGCGCCACATTCATGGTGGTCAACGAGCCGGTACATTTATATGTAACGCCTCTTTATATCGCAGCCATATATATATATATATATATATATATATATATATATATATATATATATATATATATATATATATATGGCTGTGCGTATACACCCTCCAAAACGTAGGGTGGTTACGCACCGGGCTTATACACCCTCCAAAACGGAGGGCGGTTACGCACCGGGCTTACACACCCTCCAAAAATCTTTCAGATGGTTGTACGTGTCAAGCTTATGCGCATGGGCATCTTTGAAGGCAAGGAAGTGCAGAATTGCAGAATCCCGTGCGAGAAGTCGGTTCTTTGCGTGAGAAACATCAACCGATCACTGTGGTATTGTAGCCCAGTGAATTACGGCAGTGTTTCAACATGTTCCGCTGCGCCGTTTGGAAATATAACTAACTCACGAGTTGATCGCGACGCGCCAAGCCCCGTGTATGGATGGGATTGTGCCTGAAATTATGGTGTGTGTGAAGCTTTTGTGTGGTATGCACGAAAGCTTAATAAGTGTATTGTGCACGGTGCTGTTTGTGTGTGCGGTAGCCATTTGTTAACCTGATGGTAATGTTAAGGGCACAGGTTTTTCTCCATGATTTTAGTGTAAGGATTACGTACCTCTGTACAGCTACGCATATTTAACCTATATAATACGCTGCCCCCAAACACAAGTGCACCCATGCTGCCATGGCATTCACGGATCCATGACCTACCGACGGCTAGGGCAGGTCGTCGTATTGCATCTGGTATGGCCAGCGCAAAACAATGTAGCAATTCTCCCAAGTCCAAAAGAAGACGGTTGAACTTCTTGCCACTCAAGGCAGCCTATGCTCTGGGGGAAACTACCGCTACTCGCACAGTGAACATATACATGCACCCATACCCATAACATAACCAACAGAACTGCGCGTGCTGAACCACATTTCGCACACACCACATTGTACGGAGGCACCAACCAGGTGGTCCTCCCCACAACCACACAACCAATCACATTCTTCATCGAACTGGTCCACCCCAGCCAGGAGCATCCACGCACGCACGCCACGCACGCACGCACGCACGCACGCACGCACGCACGCACACACACACAAACACCACGAGAGAGAGAGAGAGAGCAGAGAGAGATAGAGAGAGAGAGAGAGAGAGAGAGAGAGAGAGAGAGAGAGAGAGAGAGGGAGAGGAGGGAGGGGAGAGTGAGAGGAGAGGGAGAGGGAGAGGGAGAGGAGAGGGAGAGGGAGAGGGAGAGGGAGAGGGAGATGGGAAGGGAGAGGGAGAGGGAGAGGGAGAGGGAGAGGGAGAGGGAGAGGGAGAGGGAGGGAGAGGAGGGAGAGGGAGAGGGAGAGGAGAAGGAGAGTAGAGAGAGAGGTGAGAGGGAGAGGAGAGGGAGAGGGAGAGGGAGAGGGAGAGGGAGAGGGAGAGGAGAGGGAGAGAGGGAGGGAGAGAGGGAGAGGGAGAGGGAGAGGGAGAGGGATAGGGAGAGGGAGAAGAGAGAGGGAGAGGGAGAAGGAAGGAGAGAGAGGGAGAGGGAGAGGGAGAAGGAGAGGGAGAGGGGAGGGAGAGGGCGAGGGAGAGCGAGAGAAGAGAGAGAGAGAGAGAGAGAGAAGAGAGGAGAGAGAGATAGAGAGGATAGAGAGAGCGTAGAGAGAAGAGAGAGAGAGAGAGAGAGAGAGAGGAGAGAGAGAGAGAGAGGAGAGAGAGAGAGAGAGAAGATCAACATTGCTTTCACACCACCGTCCACCAAACAAGACCAATTGCCATGCCTTACAAGACTTGAGCGTATTTGTGACCTCGCATTTAACTCCAAATCATTGATAAACGGCACACACAGTAACCGTATCAATTGGTGGACCAAAAGGAAAGCAAAAAGAAAAAAAACATGCATACACATGATAGATCACACTTTTACAAGCTTCAGGTTTATCATACATGCTCACGCAAAAGTATCCACTGGCACTATAGTTCTTTCAAAAGCTTGCAAAGGCGTAAGGATTTTAACACTTCGTCAATAAGAACTGGATAATCATTGCAAATCAGCGATTTCATGCGAATTCGCGTTCCATATTTGTGACAGACTTCCACGATACGACCACTGACGCGCAAACAATGGGCATTTCACTAACATATGCTGTACTGTTCGAGGGCATGCGCAGTTCTCACGGGTAGGTCCTGGCTCACGATCCATAAGGAACGAATGGGTATATCTTGTACGTCCTAGTCGTAGTCGGCATAGGATGATTGAGGGAGCTTGAGTGTGTCGTTGGGGGTTTAAGACGCACTCAGCTGCTGGGGCTATGTGGCGTCGCCTGCCTCTCACCCTGGCAGGAATGGCGGGCATCGTGGGGAATCGACTCCCGCACCTCTGGTTTCCCAGACGCGCAGTGGTTAACGCGGAATGGTTAACGCGGACGCGTTAACCATTACATTACCGACACCCCAGAGGGAGACTTGATTGAAAATAAGCCACGCCAGAAATGTCGGACATGCGCCGGAGGGACAAATAGCATCATGCAGCTAATTGTGAGAAACGCGCTTATGACCTGCATTGTCGCCCATGAAGGACCGGTCGCACCACTGAAATAGGTAACGGCGAGCTATCCTCAAATTGCAATGGTGTTCAATACCATCTAAATGTAGCAATAAACGACTGGTTTTGACTCACAATGTTTCCACTTTTTCTGAATTTCAAATGATTTGTATTCATGCGGTCCGGCCGCATTGTCCCTCAGCTCCTAGCACGTTGGAATACGTCAGTCTGAACTGCTTGACGGCCAGTGGACAGCTTGCAGCAGAGTGCTTAGCTCCGTTCTGATGACCATTGCAAGCCCATGGCGTCCATGGTCGAGCTAGTTCAAACGTGAAATTGTGTGGCCAGATTTTACCTTTGTCACTATCTACTGTTTTTATAACGATGACTGATAGGGGCGGGGGGTTGATGCGACCGCACTCCGTTTCAAAACTAAGGAAGCTTGAACCTAGTGGGATACCAATGGATTGGTTCCAACGATATACGGAGCTTAAGAAAGCCTTTTGAATAATGTGGGAAGCTAGCCTTCACGATGACTGCTCGCTTTGGGTCAACTCTTTTGAGGAGTGCCAATGATTCGATTCACGATAAACATTTATTTTGCATACAAAACATTCGATTCACATGCGACTCATCCAAAATGATGTGACTCATGAATCATTAATCAGTTCCTCTTAAATCAAACGCAGGCCAGTTACTGACCCTAGTGGATGCTCAATACACTCCAAATGCCGTCACTTGCTCAGTGACCCCATAAATATATATTTCCAAGCCAGAAAAAAACATAACAGGAACAGTCATTTGTGTACGTAAGGTCAACTACGGGGCTTACCTGTAAACATGAGCATGAGCTATTTTCTGAAATATCGTCGACGTTTTCCAGTCGAGAATTATGAGGACATCAAACATCATGACGAACAGCACATGAAGGTGCTCCAGGGGTGCATGCACCGGGCATGTGGCGCCTTTCGACTGCTGCCTGACGACGGGTATTCTGGCACTGGTCCTCAGGCCGGGACAGAGCGGGTGCGGCTCGAACGAACCATCGACGCCCCCCACCCCCGGCGGCCGCCACAAACACCAGTCGGCCAGCACACGTGGGTGGCAAGGCTGGCCCATCACCCACCCGTGTCGGCACGTGGATCCGCACGTGCCACGCGAGCCGCAGCCGTGGCCGATGCCGAGGGATTCCCGCGAGCTGCCGGTCCGCGGTGCCCGCCGGGCCGGAGTCCGAGTACCTCGCCGGACGAGTCGATTATGAGCAGCGGGAATGTCGTTCAGCATCGCACGGACAAAGCCGACCGTGGCCAGATGCGGAAGAGATGAAATGGGATGCACAGATGTCACATGCGGATTTCCCCGATGTCAATCAAGCAACGTTGGCGATATTCAGGTCGGTTCGGCAAGCTGGAATTTACAAAATCGGTCTGCGACACGATGACTTTCTTTGAAGAACAAACACGTGGAGCAGACATGCACATGCAAGGTCCAGGAAAAAATGCCGAATGTCGTTTAACCCAAAAGTCCAACGGCTAGAGGCTGAAAAACATATTGACGACGTGTGTTTACATTTCGGGGACATCGTCTATCCATTTCCAGAATCAATATCTCATTATATGGCTCTTCATGTTATGTCGGCCACTTAAACACAATCATAACGTAAAACCCAAGCATGCAAACAACGATGGACATGCCATTGGACAACAACCACTACCGTTTTAGCAGGACAAAATCAGACAATCCTTTAGCCGTGCAGAAGACATCATAAACATCACACACTGTGAACACCACAACCAGCATAGCAAATTACAATGCTGCATGCCACCGACCCAAGGTCTGCGTGGTTCTACCAGTGTCAAGTTACTTGTTTGGGTGATGTGTTGCGATGTTGCTCCAGAGAGAAAATTTAAGAGTAGGAACGCATCCGAAATAATGAGCTTTCTTGTTCCGTATGCAGATGACGGTGTTCCAGTGTTTTGTGTAAGCACTTGGCGCGTGAGAGGAGTACTGTGGTCGATTTGCATGTGATCTTTTGGTGCCCTTTCTCTGAGGCTCTCTGCAAGGCGTCAGGATAAACATGCTATAGTTGCACCATCG